TAAACAAATGAAGCAAAGTGAGAGGATTGTTCTGGAAAAAAATGCGAATGACTTCCGAAGCCGGCAACCCATCAGGCTAACAATACACGGGTGGTAAGGATCAAAGTTACAAATCGCATTTGCAAATGTGGCTTCTGTATCCAGCACTAATTTTCTGCATCGAGATATATTTTTTTTCATCAATATTTACGATGTTGAGGGAGGAAGGGAGGTCGTGTTTTTCTTACATTTGTTGTTGTAACCTTCTAACCCCGTGTAAAAGAGCTTCATAGCTCATCAGATTCTGTTGCTGATGATCCGTGAGCAGTGCCGGATTGAGCGTAGGGGCGTCCTCGTTTCAGAGCCCACGTGCGGTCCGCTTTTGTTCCGGTTCTATTTTTCCCCCCACACTCAACCGCTGGGCAAGGTAGGTAAGCCGGAGCGTCTGATTGAAGACGAGCTGCATGCGCAGCGAATAGGCCCCAGAATGGCGTTGTCGGATGACGTTCTCTCTGTACCTGGGACGTTTACAGAGAAACCTGCTAAAAGAAAGAACCGATGTGATAATTATTGGAAGAAAAAAAAATTAAAGGACGTATGTTTCCTTTACTACTCGAATACAAAGGTATGCAACACAACATCATCTTCTTGGTTCTTTCGGTAAAGTCACGTAGAATGGAAACAATAAAATAATAAAAATAAAACATAATTAAATAATTCTCACGACGTTTCGGCCACAACGCAAGAAGCCGTCGTGAGAATTATTTTATTATATTCTTAGGTTTTTTCGGTAAAGTCACGTAGGTAAAACATCAAAATTAATAAAAATAAAATAAAATAAAGATCACTTTATTTTATTTATTATCATTATTTTATTATGTTTTTATTATTATTTTATTATTTCCATTCTACGTGACTTTACCGAAAGAACCAAGAAGATGAATCCCTGCAGTCACGAAAGCTTTAAATCGAAACACAATATCAGTTAGTGCGTGGTGTTGTGTCACCTCTATAGCCAGTTGCTGCTTTGTCTACGGGTGGCTAGGAGATGCTAACAACCTCGCCTGGTATACAGGAGGTCGTGGGTTCGATCACGACCCTGACGCCTGCTGTATATTTGGAGTTTGTGTGTCTCTCTCCCCTTGGTCGCGTGAATCTTTCTCCGGGTTTTCCCTCCACGTTAAAAACGTGCGTTTAGAGTATCTCTGGATGCTATACATTTCCACACGATTGGCAACTTCGTTGAGCTCGTATTTGTGTTCACGTCGTTTCTGAAAAAGAGCTTTATCGATCACCGAGACTTACCTGGTGAAATAGAAAAAATTGTTTATAGTTTTATATATGTATGTGTGAACGATGTGTCTTATATTCTTGGTTCTTTCGGTAAAGTCACGTAGAAGGGAATATAAATATTTCTATTATTTATTATTACCGAAAGAACCAATCATATGAATCCCTGCAGTCACGAAAGCTTTAAATCAAAAGATGTGTCTTATGTAAGACAGTTAACTGCGGGAATCCGTGCGTGCATTCAGTCCACTCTCTCGTATTATAATCAGAGCCAGTGCATATAAATATACACAAAGATGCACAATTAACAGAAAATAACTAAACACGCACCAAAGCACTGCCTTAAAGTGTCGACCAAATAAATGGTCAATCCTTATTCATAGCATATAAACCACGTACGAACATGAACCATTTACGTCCCATGAAGGGTCATTGTCCAAAACGTCGCCGAATATATAATTATTGTCATAGTGGTTGTTTTTATGATTTAAGTTAGTGTTGTTAAAAAACGTATACTATACACACACTGTGATCGTATATAGATATCCCACTGATTTATAACAACGGCTGATTGAATATTGGAAAGTCGATGGGCTCCGTATCTTACAGAGGTGAGAGAGTGTTCAACAATCTAATTGCGTATATTGTATTGAGATACATTTATAGGGATATAATGTATCACTTTAGTAGGGACGTATAAATACAGGCGTGGGTTACCCGGAAGGTATAGATAAAGACCCCCCCCGTATAGCCTTAACAAACTGTTGGGACAAGTGCTGTTTGCGAGTAGCACCTATGAAGGCCGGCACGGCACACGAGGGTGTGGGTGGTCAACACCACGCCCGACCGCCTTTGTCTCCCTAGTGGCGATGTTACACACCGCACCAGGTACTCATTTGAGTCCGAGTCGACCTAGGGGAGGCCCAGGACCGGTTCAGACAATCGTCACTGATGTTGGCCGTGAGCGGGAATCGAACTCTGGCCGCTGGGGTTCATGGCGCAGGGCGCTAACCGCTGCACCACCGCTCCCGTATACACACACGCACGCACAGGTACGTACATATATACATGCATAACCCAGCTTTAAATAACGCTGCCAAGCCTGGTGGTGTTCATTTAGACAGCTGTCTTTCCGACAGAACCTGTTCTTCACATGAGGACGGCTGCTTGCATTGTGGCCGAAACGTCGTGAGAATTGTATTTTATTATTATTGTATTTTATTATTATTGTATTATTTCCCTTCTACGTGACTTTACCGAAAGAACCAAGAAGACATACATGCATACTTACGGCTTTGGGGCGTGAAGGCGTTCCATCAGCCTGCAGACAAATCAAAGTCAATCTCAAGACTGCACCACCACCACCAGCACCACCGAATGTACACGCGCATCCGTCTCCGGCTGCGGTTGCTGCGTTAAAAAAAAAGCCGCATGCGTCGAAGTTTCCCGATCGTCACGAATGGACCCCGGGGACGCTTTGCACGCCGCCGCTTTTACTTGAGCACCCGTGCCACCTCGTCCAGAGACGTGCCACACAATCGCCGTAACTTCACTCGCCCGCGGCCCTGCCTCCGCCTCTTGTGATGACAACCCTGGCTGGCACCGACGAAACCTACGCGTGACGTCGCGGATAGAGTTAGTGCGGAAAGTGGTCAGCGAAAGCACGCGCCGTGGTCTATAACCTGTAGGATGCGTTTGTGTGCGTGTCTATGTTGTGTTTCTCTCTTTGTGTCTGTGTGTCTGTGTTGTGTGTCTCTGTCTCTGTGTCTCTCTGTGTGTCTGTTGTGTGTGTGTCTCGCTCTGTCTCTGTGTGTCTATGTTGTGTGTCTCTCTCTGTGTGTCTATATGTTGTGTGTCTCTCTCTCTGTGTGTCTATATTTTGTGTGTCTCTCTCTCTCTGTGTGTCTATATGTCGTGCGTCTCTCTCTGTGTGGGTCTATGCTGTGGGTCTCTCTCTCTCTCTGTCACTGTGTGTGTGTCTCTCTCTCTGTGTGTCTCTGTGTGTCTATGTTGTGCGTCTCTCTCTGTGTGTCTCTGTGTGTCTATGTTGTGTCTCTCTCTGTGTGTGTCTCCGTGTCTGTGTTTGGTCTCTCTCTAGAATTTAGTTTTACCTGATAACGACTGCGTGTGCTGCAATCGAAACGTCGTATTCTATTATTTAATTATATTGTATTTTCTACGTGACTTTACCGAAAGAACCAACGAGCAATTCCCGCAGTCGCGAAAGCTTCAAATCGAGTTTGATGCGTCTGTTCGTTTGACCAATCGGTTTACCAGACGCGCGCTGCAAGCAGGCGATGCTATTGTTCGTAGGCTTTGAAATGGGACGCTCAATACGAAGCTGGCATTGTGCACGAAGCGTGACCGCGTCCATCGACCTCGGCGTCACAATGCATGGCAGGCGAATTACTCGGTCCACCGATGATGGGTGCTCGTATATTAGTCGGTGTGTTTTTCGCGAAGCGTAAAGCGATTGTAGAAGTTGAAGGACGGACACCCCATTGTCCCTGTTCGTGTGACAGCGGTCAAACTCTCCGGGCTGAATATTTCGGGAGCCTGGTTCACATTCAAAAAATCCGTAATGCGTAATAGGAGTATGGAGTCGACTGAACGTGTAAACAAATGTCACCCTTGTAGTCGTCCTTCTGGAGCAGTGGTTCTTAACCTGGGGTGCGAGATATGGGCAGATTTTTTTTAGAAGGTAAATCATCGAAAAGACAAATTAAGCACGGGGCAGGTAAGTTACAACTACTTTGTTGTGTGTTTTTATCAAACCCTATGTATTGATTAACTTTGCAGTTAAGGTGAAGAACCACTGCTCTCGGTTACGAGCGTGCGTGTCTGAGATAAGATTTGCCTTCGAAATGGTTTCAAGACGCGTTATGAGTTAAGTGTGCTCTCTTACAGACTCTAAACATCAATATAGACTAATACAATTGTATTTAGGAGACGTGGCTTTTACTAGCCCGCACTCACCGGCGTGGTGAAGTATGGTCAAACAACCGTCACGACCAACACGGCGTGAGATGAAGATCCTTTTCATCCAGCAGTGGATTGACATCGGGCGGACTATAATAAGACAACGCGTGCAGTGGGAACGGCCGTCTGACCCTGGTCCTGATATCGTATTCGTCGGTGTAAATTAGCAGATATTTAGGACAAAGCGATACACGTTTGTGATTTCTATTCGTTACGAAACTGGTCGTTGATTTTCTAAAACAAAAATAACAACAAAACGCAAACGCAACGGTTTAACTTTGTAATTCACAACTATTGCTGGATGCTGCACAGAGAGAAAAAAGAAACCTTCCCGATCCAATTATTTCAAGTTGGATTAACAGAAACTACTAAAACCCACTATTTTCCGTAAAAGTTACGCATTTCTTGGCAGACAAAGATCGCGATGATAACGATCGTGAGCAACGTGATGATGATGATGCTAATGATGATGTATACCATGCTCATAACTATGACGATAGTAGCGATGACACACGTTATAACACAGCGCAAACTTCACACGCGCCTGCGGAACCACACGATAACGCACTGTCAAAACAAACGTGTGTACGGACATCGCACGGACGTAAATAACGATTCGCTTGAACTTTGGCTGGCGGGATATACTCCCAAGTTGAACTGCCGCTTCCGATTGGCCGGATGATTGCGTGAAATGAGCGTACGCACAATCGCGTGCCTCTGCATTCCCCTCCTCCTCTCCTCCCATCTCGACCACCCTCCGCCTACAACATAGCAGCACGGTCATTTGTATAAATTCCCAAACGTCATGGACATTGTTGGCTTCCATCGGAGAGAACGCAGCGCTCCGTGGCCGTCGATGCGACCGAGACGGCGATTTTTATGATTTCTATCCGAGCGCCTCTTCCCGCGGCAGAAAGTCAACCGAGCATGTGTCCGCGAACACGTGCCACCCAGTCCGCCCTGCGCAATCGGCGCTCTCGTTTATGATCTACGCGTCCGACTCTCTCCGCCTCGCTCGTGCTTCTTGCTCGTTCATCGCATCCCGAGCGAAGAGAGAGAGCGAGCGAGCGAGAGAGAGGTGGGGGGTTGGGGGCGTGAGTGGTGGGAGAAGCGGAGCAGTAGGAACGCGAAGGAATCGGCGGCTTGGCTAAGCTCGGCCGCGTGTCGTCCGCGTGGTTTGTGACCGCCGCAGCATGAGTCTGGTGGGTGGCTACCCTCACCACCACCCGGTCATGTACGACCTCTACCCTTGCGTGGCGGCCGCCGGTCGCCGCCACCACCACCACCATCATCATCACGACGAGAGCCTCTACCTCCGCGGCTGGGTGCTCGGGGGCGCGGCGGATATGGCAGCGGACTACGCCAGCGTGCCGTGCCACTACAACGGGCTCACCGCCGCCAGCTACCCCGGCGGAGTACTCCGGGGTCCGGGGTCGATGCAGGTCTCCGAGGCGGCCGCCGTGCACGGAGGCGGCGGCGGTGGCGGCGGGGGCGGTGGAGGAGTCGGAGTTGCCGCGGGAGTCGGAGGAGGGGTCGGGGGCGGAGGAGCCATCAACGGCGGTGCGGTCGCCACCACGGCCACCGCCGCTGCCGCCGCTGCTGCCGCGGCCGCCGCGTATTGCGGGGCCCTGCGGGGGCTCGGGGAGAGGGCGTGCGGCCGGAGGCTACGGCCCCACTCGGCCGGGGTGGGACCACCGGGGCAGCCGCAGCCTCCGCGCAAGGAGCGGCGCCGCACCCAGAGCATCAACAGCGCGTTTGCGGAGCTGCGCGGACACATTCCCAACGTGCCCGTGGACACGAAGCTGTCCAAGATCAAGACGCTGCGCCTCGCCACCAGCTACATCTCCTACCTGATGGACGTCCTGGATAAGGGCGACAGTGGTGGAGAGACGACGTCCGGATTCAGGGCCGATCTGGCGGACAGCGATGGCCGGTCGGAGCGCGCCGTCGACGGAACGGTACGGGCGCACGCACGGGCGGGAGTAGCGCAGGCGCTGGGCACGCGGCACGGGAAACGGGACTCGGTAGAAGTGGAAGATTTGAACTCGCTGCATGGCACTGAGCGCATACATCTGTGTGTAACAAGCAACTATCGGCGCAGGCATGCGAGCGTACAGCTGGCTGTATCGAAGAGGGAGCACAGACCTGTGTTTACGTAATAGAACTGGGTTGCATGAATAGCACTGCAGCGATAATAGAACAGGGTACATCATGTGACTGGGCGGAAAGAATTGGGTACGTAACAGAACTGGAACTGGGTACATAGTCGAAGAGGGGGTACATAGAACTCGATTTACATCAGCACTGGGGACAGAGAGCTGGTTACATCATAGAACGCCGCAAGCGGTCAGTGTCTCTGTACACCTACGACTGTGGTTAGTTTGTTGGGCGTATTCAGCGGTGGGTAATCAACCCTCCCCCCAAAAATATATATATCTTGAAGTTTGATGCTTTTAAACAATAATGAAAGGCTGCGTTTAGAAGTGGTGCGTAAGCACACGTTAGACCACTCGGATATACGGTTCGCCGTCAACACCGTCTCCATAGTAATATAGACCAGTTCGACGTTTCGAGCAATGGCCCTTCTGCAGGGCAGACACAGAAAGCGATCACGTCACGTTTGTATTTCCAACATAGTTCCAAACAGCGCAACAACAAAAATCACGTAATTATAAAAAAGCACATTGTGTCCAGCCGCACAACCGAACGCACGAACTTGAACTATGGGACTTTGTTTAAAGAAGCTTGTAGCGTATACACACTCGCACGGACCTCACTGTATACTTAGAACTTGATATCAATCTGTGCTTCAGCTGCGGGAAGAGTGAAAATGTTTCACTGAAAGGAAGCAATCCAGCGGCTTTTTGGGCAAACGCCAGGCCAATTATTATCCAGGATGTGTGCCAACATTTTATCTTTATTGTAATCAAACAACACATTCTCGATTGCGCTTGTGTGTACGTGTGTGTCCTATCGGTTGGCGCCGAGTATGAACGAGGATAGGAATGCATACGCACGCAGGGAGACACGTGGACAGAGCGCGCACTCATGAACCCTGAGGATATTTCTCCAGATGAATTATTTTGCCTCAAACGTGAAATATTGCTCCGTAGTACAGTGCATCCCCTTATTTGGGGAGTGGGGGTGTGTGGTGGTGGGAAAAAATGTGATAAATCAGTGCAATTTGTACAGATTTTTTTTTAGGGGGGGGGAGTGTGTAAAGGGTGGTTAGTGGACATATTTTTACCATTGAGTCAGCAGCGGTGCGGACCTTGCACAAGGCTCACGTGACAACCACCAGAAGAATGCGACTTGATAAGACTCATCGGTGTCATGCACGTGTTGATAGAGAGAGAGAGAGCGAGAGAACCAGAGCGAACCACTACTCGGAGGTGTTCTTTCAAAACCTGATAGATCCTCCATTCCGTGAATATGTACCACGGTGGGAGTTAGGGATTGCGGATTGCGTCGCCGGGTTTAGGGCCATGAGTCACAGTTCGGCTGTCACTTTCGCCGCGTGCGAAGGATGCATTGGACATGCCCCCGGAATTTAAATGCCCTCCCTGCCGCACGAGTTGTAGTCACAAATAAAAAGGGAACATTCTGCAGGATAGATTTGAAGCTTTCGTGACTGCAAGGATTCATACTCTCGTTTTTTTTCGATAAAGTCACGTAGGTAAAAAAATGAAATAAAAATTAATTCAGCAAATCTGGCTGTAAAAGTCCCACCTGATGACGGAGACTTGTGCTGCCTCCGAAACGTCGTGATTTTTATTATTTTATTTTTTATTAATTTTAATTTCATTTTTTTACCTACGTGACTTTACCGAAAAAACTAATAGTATTTTGCAGGCTCTTCTCCGCGTCGGCTCGCTGAGCTTATAGAGGCACACGCATTGACTATACCTTGAAAAGTTTCAGTGGTGCGAAAATATGAAGATGTATAGTGTATACATATGTGCCAACGGTGTTTACATTTCAGTTTAAAGTTAGACTTTTGATGTGTTGCACCCACAAGCGCGAGTTCACACACGTCATGCACATTCATCATCATCACCGTAATAATCGTCTTCAAAATCATCACCAGCCATGGTCTGTCCGCTGCTGGATGAAGGCCTCGCCAATCCGCCGCCACCACCTCCCCTCGCGATTCTGCGATATAAGAATCCGTCTAGCACCCCACAAACGAGTTGATTTCATCATTATGGTCTTCATCATCATCAAACGTACAACAGAAATTACGTGGTGATGATGATGCTGCGTTGGCGGTGGTGCAGAAGCATAATTTGTTACAAACTCGTCAACAAATGTGTTCAATCTTAAGGCAGTGTTGTCGAAGAGCGTGTCGAGTTTATGTTTACATATTACAGAGATGAACGTGCAATTGTATGACACGTAGATGAATGCAACGCTAATTGTGCAGAAACATAGAAGTAAACTGTCATCGTTGATCTTGGAACACCCGATGCTGCCGCTATATTCATAAAAGTTCATTCTGATTTTATAACGCGCGTTAAACAGCAATGGAACGACGTGCAGTTCATCATCTTTTACCTTTTCACTTAGTCCCCTACACGCGTGTCGATGCTAAGCGTGACTAAGTGTACTTTGTGTCGTTGTTTGACTTTGCATTTCTGTTTGTTTCCCCTCTCGTCCTCCTCCCCCCCGACCTCTTCGTAGAAGAGGCCATCTGTCCAAGTAGTCCCGATAACGCATGAACAACTGAAGGCATGTCCACGCACTCCTTCTCGACACCCTTGCACGTAACAATAGTCCTGTGCACGAGTCCATGGATATGTTGTATGAGCGTCAAATTAACTCCCTTCCCCCCTCCCAATCTGTATATCTTATCACTTGATCATTTGCCGTAATTTTGTGGATTATAAGACGCTCCGGAAAATTAAGACGCACCCCAAGACGCCTTTGCGCGGTGTCAATAAATGTATTCGAATCTGTTTTCACACAGAGACAAAGATCCCCCGTATAGGCTTAGCAGACTGTTGGGTCAAGTGCTGTTAGCGAGCACTTATGCGGGCCGGCACGGCACACGAAAGGGTGGGTGGCCAGCACCACGCCCGGCCGCCTTTGTCTCCCCAGTGGCGATGTTTACACACCGCACCAGGTACTCATTGTATGCTGAGTCGACCTAAGGGAGGCCCAGGACCGGTTCTGATAATCGCCACTGGTGTTGGCCGTGAGCGGGAATCGAACTCGGGTGGCGGGGATCGTAGCGCAGTGCATGCTAACTGCTACACTACCGCTCCGCACACAAATTATAAGACGAACCTCCGACGTTTTTGTAAATGTAGGGATACAAAATATTTGCTTATTTTGAACTCTGAGAATACGGCGTAGATCATTACAATGCAATTGGCCAAACGTTGTAAATGCAGGACCCTCCTGAAATCGGAGTCTTGAGACTCGGGGAGGATTTTTGTTTATCGACACGTAAATAAATGTTCCGTAATTTTAGTTTTAATGATATATTTACGAATGGACTCTCTCTGCTCATAATGTACAAAAAGTAGAAATACTGTTCAAATGTTTAGCATGTATACATTCTATACAAACTATATTTGCACGCTTCGGCAACTCCTGGTGTACGTAACCTATACGCACCAAGGAAAAAGTCAAACAATAATGAGAATTAGCTACTAAAAGTGTAAAGATCTATTAACTGTATTTTTAAGGTAATCGATCAAAGCGTTCTGTCGTGAAATGCATTGACGTATTTTCGGAAAATGATGATTTTGAAACAGGCCTCAAATCATATAACGGTCAGACATACATAACTTACCTTGAGTAATAATTTTTTATTTTTCCCAACCATCACAATTTAAAGTATAAATGGCGTACAGCGAAATATATCTGTGCATGTATTGCAACCACACACGCTACGAGGATTATTTAGCTGCCACTCAAATCATCTACTGCTGGATGGAATGAAGGCTCCACACACTGCATTAGTCAGGGGAGAGAGGGGATAGGGGCTGTTTTTCGGCCATACTTCACCACGCTGGTCAGTGCAGCTTGATGAAGGAGAGACCCCAAGGACCGGTTCTGATATCACTCACCGCTGATGTTAGCCGTGGTCGGGAATAAAACTCGGCTACCGATTGTGCTAACCACTGCACCACCGCTCCACCCCGTCGTTCGAATTCATGTCTTTTTAAATACACGACAACAACAACCGATCACCGAGTGATTTGAATATGTATGCCCGATTAACTTGGCAGAGTTCACCAAAACGCACAACAAACCCTAGCTGCTGACATTTCCCCGCACCTGCGATCAGCACGGCCGACTACGTACGGTGCGAAAGAAGTTTAAACGCACATACGCTACAGTGTAAGTCACCATTAATGTGGAGCGGTGGCGCAGTGGTTAGCGCGCTTGCGCTATTGTTGAGTCGTCTCGTACCACTGGTCCCGAGTGTTGCTCCCCCACCCACTGCACCAACTCCGCACGGACCAGCGTGGTGAAGTATGGTCAAAACAACCCCCTCCTCCTCCCCGCCATGAGCGACAAGGCGTGGAGAGGATTTCCATCGAGCTGTAGATTGACAAAGCGTTGTGCATTTGTCCGAGATAATCTGCGCGTTCACGACGCGTAACGCGTAGTTCGGGGGGAGGGGGGCATGGCGCTCCCACGTTAAAGCGCATGCATCGCATTATATCACAACACACTATTTACGCTAATTCTGACGTCGATGAGTTCCACATTAACGCCACTCATTCGTGCCAACGTTGCTCTACTCCGTAAACAAACGCCGACTTCGTACGGCCGCGCGCGCGCGTGCGCTCGTGCCGACATTGCAAGATGAGACCCGAGTTCATCGTGGTGCACCGTTTGACAACAGCGATTGATAATGACGACGATGATGACGATGATGATGCTGTTACATAAACAGTGACAAACACGACACTAACAACACGTGACAGACGAACGCCGCTCGTGAAAAGAAACGGACCGCGGCACAAGCTGCAGCTGCGTGTTGCGTGCGTGCGCGTTCGCAAGACTAGCGCAGCGCAAGGGTTAAACGCCTCCTCTCTCATTTGCCGCTCCATTTTGTTTTGCTAGCATCGCTGCCCATTCACTCGAAGGTCGTCCCCATCCCTCCCCCCCCCCTAAACCCAACACCACCACCACCTATCCACCCACCCCGATAGAGACCTCTCAGTGCGTCAGGGTCAAGGGCACAGCGCTTACGCAGTGACCACAATGACAGAGACCCCCCCCCCCCACCCACCCTCCTTCTAAAGCATTCGCTGCTTATTCGAGTCCCCCGTGTGACGGGGGAGCGAAGTCGGCCTCCGCCGCCGCAGGCAGCCGATCGAGCCCCGGGAAGAGCCGCTACGTGCTACGAAGCAGCCGATGGAGAATCGGCCGCGTAAAATGCGCCCCAAGGCTGCACGCTGTTTCAGCCGATACCTTAACTGATCGCAATACACTCTGGTTGTTGTTGTTGTGGCTTGTAAATGTTGTGGCTTGTAAATGTTGTGGCTTGGCTCTCCAACACACCGGTGTGCTGTACTAGTGATTAAGTGGCTTGTTCTGTTCACGTAACACGCCTTATTAATTGGCTGTGTCGGTGGTGGCGGATTTAACGACACATTTTTATATTTACGCGATCTAACCCCAAAAACCTGTATTATGTTGTTGTTTGGTATTGTTGGCATATCTTTCAACGCATACCGGTTACTCGCATTCTTGTACAGAAAATCTAAGTTTTCGGGTCCATACGGCGTAAGCCGTTTCAATGCGGGCTTTGTAAGGATGAACTTTGTTGAGGTGTGTAAGGGGCACGGGGTGACCAACACGGTCTCACTTGGTCTGTAATAAGCTAGAGGGCACTGGTAAGGGGTTGACAGGTTTGTGTTGGCTTGCGCGTATGCGTGTGTTGTCTTTATGCGTATGTCTACGTGGGTTCACCTTTGTGTGTGTTGTGTGCACACCGTATAATGTGTCCGCGTGTCGTGCCGTGCCAGCCTTCGTAGGTGCTACTCGCTAACTGCACTTGCCCCAACATTGTGTGAAGGCTATACGGGGGGGGGGGAATCTTTGTCTTTGTATTGTGTATGAATGTATGCGTGGGTGTGTATATATGTTTGTTTGCAAATGCCTGTGTGTGTGCATGTGTGTGTGTGAACCGAGCCTGGGCCTCCTCGATGTCGACTCAGCCTCAAATGAGTACCTGGTGCGGTGTGTAGTAAACATCGCCACTAGGGAGACAAAGGCGACCGGGCGTGGTACTAGCCACCCACCCCGTCATGTGCCGTTCTGGCCTTCATAGGTGCTCGCGAACAGCACTTGCCCCAACAGTTTGTTACAGCCTGTACGGGGGACCTTGCCTTTGTAAGTTATTACCTGTGTTAGCGCTACGCTGCGCGAACTAACCTGGCGAAACGATTTCGGTATCCGCTCACGGCTAACATCAGTGACGAGTGTCTGGACCGGTCCTGGACCTTATTTAGGTCCACTCAGCCATTAACGGAGTACCCGGTACAATAAGTGGACATCAGCACTCGCTAACAGAACTTGCTCCAATGGTCCATTAAAGGCTATATGGGGGATCCCATATATATGTATATGTTCGTACATATACACACATGTATACACTAAGCTACCTAAATAATTAACTTATTTATACTATGTTAACAATTGTATGCAGTTGTGCGTATGTACATGAGTGTCTCACGTCTGTGTACACGAGAACAACCTTAAATACGTGCATGCATGACGTACTACACATTTCCTGTTGATGTCGGGTGCCATCCTTGAGCCAGCGGCTGAAACTCGACATTCCTATGGCCAGTTCTATTTATAAGACAACCGCAGCTGACTGCCAAAAATTGGTACTAAATTTACCGACCCCCCCCCCCCCCCCGCCGATGGAGAATTGGCTGAGTCGACCACTTGGAACATTTCAGCCGAGCGCTCGAACCACCCGATTACCCCAAACCAGAACAATAATGTAGTCATTCATCCAGCAGGGATTGGCAAAGGCGATGTAACACATCAACGTGTGGACTCTTTACCCCCACGCCACCCACAATGCACGTACACGCAGTACTAGCACCCGTGGCATCGGTATAATCATTGCCAGCTTTCTATCGCTAATTGCGCTCTCTGCTCGCGTGTTTAAGAGCGGTGGCACGACGATTGACGCACACGCGTCAGGAATCCAGCGCCGAGTTACATTCTAGATTTGAAGCTTTCGTGACTGCAAGGATTCATACTCTTAGTTATTTCGGTAAAGTCACGTAGGTAAAAAAATTAATTAAAATTTATAAAAAATAAAAACAATAAAATCACGACGTTTCGGAGGCAACACAAGCTTCCGTCTTGTTTTTATTTTTATTAATTTTCATTTCATTTTTTACCTACGTGACTTTACCGAAAGAACTAAGAGTCCGAGTTACATTCTTAAAGCACGAAACGAGTACCTGGCGCGGTGTGTTAAAAACGTGAGCACTTGGGGAGACAAAGGCGGCCGGGCGTACGGAGTTACAGTACCACCACCTCGTGATGTGCCGTAACTGCTCCAATAGTTGTTCGCTTACAGCTGGGATTTAACAATTCTAATTATACGTGATAAGTTAAAGCACGATCTTGATTTGAAGCTTTCGTGACTGCAGGAATCCATACTTTTTGGTTCTTTCGGTAAAGTCACGTAGGTCGACATAAAATTCAAACAAATCACGACGTTTCGATCGCGACACAAGGGACCTTCATCAGGTGAGACAACCACAGCAGTTTTCTTGCTGTGGTTGTGTTGCGATCGAAACGTCGTGATTTGTTTTATTTTATGTCGACCTACTACGTGACTTTACCGAAAGAACCAAAGAGTAAGTTAAAGTCCATTTGTCAACCCACTGCTGGATCAATGTCTCCCCACTCAATGTGAGTGTGTGCGGTTTGTCGAAGCGTGTTTTCAGACACACCCCCGTTCAGATATCGCGCTCGATAGCCTATGCCACCACGTACAGTGTGAACTTCTTTCGCACCGTACGTATCCAACCGTGCTAATCGGAGATGCTGGGGGGGGGAGGGGGTAACAAGCTAAACGCAACATCCAGTTATGATTCAATTAGTTTCAATCGAGATGATTTAGAAGTGCATAGGGCTCCAGTGGATTCCTACTATCAGAAGGAAGAGCTTTCCAGACGGCCGGTAGAAGCGCATCTGAAGGCGCGCGATGTGGTGGCCGTCTTTGTCCGATGGCTAATCCTAAAGCGGCTGCTGCGAGGATGCACGTTGGGGTTCTTTCGCGCGCCGTACGTAGCCCAACCGTGCTCATCAAGAGGTGCGATGATCGGAAGCCGCTTGCTTCGATGAAGTCGATGGAGCAAAACGGATTATGGGGGGCGTGGGAAGGGGAGGAAGTGTGCGTGTGTATGTGTGTGCGTGCGTGTGCGTGCGTGTGCGTGTGTATGCGTCTGGTGGGGAGCGGTAGTGTAGCGGTTAGCGCGCTGCGCTATGAACCCGGCAACACGGGTTCGATTCCAGCTCACGGCCAACACCAGTGACGATTATCTGAACCGGTCCCGGGCCTCCCCTAGGTCGACTCAGTCTCAAACGAGTACCTGGTGCGGTGTGTAAGCATCGCCACTGGGGAGACAAAGGCGGTCGGGCGTGGTGCTGGCCCCCCACCCCTCGTGTACCGTTGCGGCCTTAATAGGTGCTCGCTAACAGCACTTGCCCCTACAGTCTGTTAAGGCTATACGGGGGGGATCTTTGTCTGGTGGGGAACGCTTTCCGTGAAGTGTGACACGTGTTGTTGTTGTTGTTGTCTTGTTGTTGTTGTTGTTGTCCTCGCCTCCGATCAGCGACCCAGTGGCAAGAAGAGCTCGACGGAGAAGAAGCGTGGACGGACTGGCTGGCCGCAGCACGTGTGGGCTCAGGAGTTGAAACGATGATGGCGATGACGACGATGACCGCGTGGGACAAGCTCGTCTCTTGGATGAACGCTGAGAAAACGCTCCGTTCAACAACAACAACAACCCAAAAAAACCCTAAGAAACCCCAAAAACAAAACTGAAAGCTTTGCACTGAACATCGCTTGAGTCGTCGTCGTCATCGTCGGCACGGGCACGGGGAATCACCGCCGGTACGTCTTTGTCGGTCCTCTCGTAACTGCACGGCATTCTTGCTCGTGGTATTATCATCATAATCATAATATTCGAGCGGTGATTCGATAGACCTGTGGTGCTGCGTCGTAGTAATGTTACGTTATGTGCCCGAACGTGGTATAGACGAGTGTTATTTGGCCTCCTGTTTAATGTTGTATATAATGACGTGATGGTGATGATGATGGTGATTATTTAGAATGATCGTCAACATTGGAAGAGTGTTTTGTTGTTCTTCTGGTTGTTGTTTTCAGTGGATTTATAAAAAGACAGAGTTGAGACAATGCAATCGACTGCCCCTTACAAATTGGACTTTTTCCGAAGGATAAAAAAAGAGATTTAGTTATTCTATTCTATAAACGTGTTTCTATTTTGCATAACGTTTGTATCGATGCTACAGCTACAAACGATTCATATACTGAACAGAGTATTATGTTTTATGTTGACCATGATGATGATGAGAGTTGATGTTACACGGATGTCGCTATATGGAAATTCACATGTCAGAAGTGTTTTAATTTGCATCAATGCAGTACACGAACCAATGCAGTTTATCGCTTATTACATTGTAGTGCGATTCAATTGCAGACTTTTTTACCATACATTCACATGATGATGATGGTGATTATGCAATTTGCTGGAGAAAACGAAATTAACGTAAGAACGCAAGGCAAACTAACAAACATCTCATTTGTAGATAACTCCAAATGCAGCGCGTGACTGTTATTTTAATACAGTAAAACTCATTATGTGGCGATTGTGCGTTAGCAGTGGGTTTCGAGCACACGTAACAACATACACAACCCAACGCATTCGTCAATAATACTGTGGCCTTAAAAAAATCTATATTTAATATAAGCGGCGACGCTTCGGGCAATGATCCTTATTCACAACACATAGCGAGGTTTATTCCCACCTCTCCGGCCTCTGACTAGGCCACAGTTGTTATTATTTTGTTATTGTAACACGGCGTCTCCAAAATGACATCGCGAGGGTGGCTATCGCGGCGCGCGACTCGATGAACTTTAGGACACGAAGTGGTAGCATCTTCTTGGTTCTTTCGGTAAAGTCACGTAGAATGGAAATCATAAAATAATAAAAATAAAACATAATAAAATAAATCTCACGACGTTTCGGCCACAACGCAGGCAGCCGTCCTCAGGTGGAGAACAGGTCTGTCGAGAAGACAGTCTGAATGACACACCCCAGGCTTGGAGCGTCTATTTAAGCTGGGATGGAGGGGGGAATAGCGCCTTGACAAAATAATTTGCATATCAAGAGGAAATGAGTACTGTACTCTACTTGGTGCGATGTCTAAACATTGTCGATGGGGAGACTAAGGCGGCCGGGCGTGGTGCTGGTCATGCATCTTCTCGTGCGCCTTGGCGACCTTCATAGGTGCTACTCGCTAACAGCACTTGCCCCAACACTGTTATAGGCTATACGGGGGATCTCTGTCTTTGTTTGTGTAGATGTGTTCCACGTGACGCAGAAAGCGTTAATTGCTTCAGCAGGTCGCGCGGGGCGTGTTTAGCAATCATCGGGCGCGTACAGCATGGGACGACGGATTTTAATTTGAAAAGGGAGTCAATTGGTGCGCACGAAGAGACGTAGGGGCGTGGTGGTGGGCTGTAGTTTGAGAAACCCTTCTCTGAGGCTACACATTTATCCATCATTAAAGGGCTAAACGAGCTGAAATCGTGTGCACAGATCGTCGAGGTCACGCTGCTAACTAGCAACATCTGGAAGTAGATTTGTGTTTATTGTTAACCGTTAATTTAAGTTAGGATCGCGTTCAAAGTCGCACGTTGTTTTCAGTCTCGCGATAAGCAACATACACACCCAGCAGCGGACCAAGGACGTGGAGGGTGACGCTAGAACCGACGGAAAAGCCTTTGACGGGTTTTGCGTTTTTCCCCATTTACTGTCACGCGACTAACTAATTTGACGTTTCCTGCATCCAATTAGGGGACACTTAGCCGAGGCTGTAATTAATGGCAACTGTAAATCAGTCGCTGCGGCTCGCACCGACGGCATCCTCGAGACGATGTTTCGTGTTCATCTTCTTGGTTCTTTCGGTAAAGTCACGTAGGATGGAAATAATAAAGTAATAAAAATAAAACATAATAAAATAATTCTCGCGACGTTTCGGCCACAACGCAAGCAGCCGTCCTCAGGTGGAGAACAGGTCTGTCGAGAAGACAGTCTCATTCAGACTCTGTCTTCTCGACAGACTTGTTCTCCATCTGAGGACGGCTGCTTGCGTTGTGGCCGAAACGTCGTGAGAATTATTTTATTATGTTTTATTTTTATTATTTTATTATTTCCCTTCTACGTGACTTTGACGAAAGAACCAAGAAAATGAATCCCTGCTGTCACGAAAGCTTTAAATCGGAGTTGTAAATTATTTATTAATGATTATGACCTCGTGCCAAGGCAGATCTCTCTCGCCCACTTCAGCAGTTTTGTTCTTGCTGTGGTTGTCCCACCTGATGACGGTTGCTTGTGTTGCGATCGAAACGTCGTGATCTATTATTTTTCTACCTACGTGGCTTTACCGAAAGAACCAAAGAGTATTAATGATTATGATTATAATCAATGCCGTTTATTGATCAGTAAAGCTTCACTAAGCCTCAGTCGACTAGTTTCAGGAAGGTCTTATTAGATTGGCATGCTTGGCAAATTCCACGAATAATGGAACAAGTTTCACATTTTCGATGAATAGAAGAGGCGAACATTTCTTTTTTTTTTAAGAAAACAACATCTATAAATAACAACGTTAGAAAATGTAATACCAAAGAGCTATTCATTGTTACACTATACAGCATTTGTTTTTCATTACGTAACTAGTCAAGCCGACATTTTCAGAAGCTGATCGTGTGGACGGATATATATATATATTTTTAATAATTACCCTCCTTTAGCGAGCCCATGTAATCGATACCGAGTATAATGTGTATAGCATATGGAGGTCGCGACTCATCGATGCAAATTGCAATACTTTGACTATAGAATTGGACGAGCAAGCCGACATTTATACTTACGACTCTACAAAACCACGAAAAGTTAAAATCGGTTGTCTTCTGGCTCACAGAAACGCGCAGTCGGTTTCACTCTTTGTCGCAAACCTCGGCCCGACGTTCCACCTCTACGCGCGCGTGCTCGATACGACCAATGCCATTTTAGTGGACCGAGTAATTCGCCCGCCCCCGGCGGAGTGCGACGTTGGAGCCCGTGGAAAGCGGGCGTCCGATCGCGAAGCAAAAAAAAAGTTGAACGTGCAGACACTGCAGTGCACACAGCGTGACGCAGACTTCACGTGCACAGAGACTCCTCCGTGCGTGCCTTTGTCATGCAGATAAATCAGATCCTCCCCCCGTATAGCTTGTAACGGACTGTAGGGGCAAGTGCTGTTAGCGAGCACCTATGAAGGCCGGAACGGCCCACGAGGGGGTGGTGGGTGGCCAGCACAACACCCAGCCGCCTTTGTCTCCCCAGTGGCGATTTTTACCACACACTGCACCAGGTACTCATTTGAGGCTGAGTCTACCTAGGGGAGGCCCAGGACAGGTTCAGATAATCGTCACCGATTTTAGCCGTGCGCGGGAATCGAACTCGGGTTGACAGTTTCGTAGCGCATCGCGTTGACCACTACGCTACCGCTCCCCATACAAACACGTGCCTTTATCATGCACACACACGTGCATCTCTTTTGGTGATCCACTGCTGGATCGAGAGCCTCCACAATGCCGTGTTGGTCGTGTCGCGGTGGGGAGGAGGGGGGGTTATTTGACCATACTTCACCACGCTGGGCGGTGCTGGTTTTTGGTGAAAGTCGGGGAGCAAATGGAACGTGCGTGGATGGGAATGTAGAGTCACAAAAAGCTTCATTGCCACTATTATTGTTATTAGACAGCGGGTATATATATAGACATGTCAACGATTTGTAGTGAATACAAGAAGACGACGAGTCTAGGTTGTGTGTGACGATCGCCAGAAGCGCTACTTTATTTACTGCCACAGAGCGTTTTGCATTATTTACCAACAACACCTTAAAAATAAACGGAGTGCGTCGCGTCTCGGTTGAACTGGAGGCAATCTAGGATGTACGAACGTGGTTTTACCCCCCCCCCCCCCCGTGTGACATTGTGGAGATGTATTGCCGACAGAGGCCGCACATTCTCCGTACACATCCTGTAAACAAAGCGCCTGCCTGCAGAATGTACAGCGTGTTTGCGCGCGTGTGATGTGTTTTATTGCAATCGCCGTCCCCTGTACACGGTTATTTCAGAGTGGTTGTTGTAAGAGCTTCGTATTTTGACGTTTTTCAATTGCCAATAGTTTAATAAGCACCCCCTGCACGTTGGGATCATGTTTTGTACACGCTATACACACGCATGTACGCGTATCTTACGCGCGCGTGTGTGTGTGTGGGGAGCGGTGGCGCAGCGGTTAGCGCACCGCACTACGCACTTAGCGATCCGAGTTCGATTCTCGCTCGCGGCCAACGACTACCTGAACGGGACCTGGGCCTCTCCTAAGTCCACTAAGCCTCAAATCAGTACCTGGTACAGTGTGTATACATCAGCACTGAGGAGACAAAGGCGGCCAGGGCGTAGTGCTGACCACCCACCCCCCCTCGTTTGCCAGCACCGGCCTTCGTAGGTGCTCGCTAACAGCACTTGCCCTACAGTCTGTTAAAGGCTACATGGGGGGGGGGGGGTGGTCTTTGTATTCGTGTTCTGTGTCATTGACAAATAATCCGACGATATTCGCAAATGTTAATGCAAAACTATTTACGCATGCCGAGTCGTTACGTCAAGACAACCGGCGGTCGACCACGTCTCGCCACTCGTAGAGACGTGCACGTTGTAAGTTGCGGCACGTGTCAAGCGAGGCTTTCGCGGCCACCATCAGACGATTGATAAATACAATTTACCTTTCGGGCCAGAGCGCGTACGCGTAACGCGCGCGCGTGTGTCACGCAGACACCACTTCGTCCGCTCGACACGGCCAATCGATGGAGTCGAGACATCGTGCCACGATGTTTAAGGTTGTGGGCTCGCTGCCCCCCCCATCGACAACACCGACTGGGCTGATTCGGCGGTAACATAATGGCACGTTTGTGCATCGCGGGACGACTATGTTCATCGGAAAATTGCTAATAGGCGTTGTTTTACCCTTTGTGTCGATAAAACGGGTGTTAAGATATTCAAACGCCAAATGGAAACCCTTGGCAAGGAATCGTACTTTGATACTGGCAAAAAAAAAGTCGCCCCATGATATTTGTTCATTGGCTCTGTCGGGTGGAGAAGGGTGCACGACACACATTTTACTCACGCGATCTGACCCTTACGGCAATTATGAATCCTGTAGGTTTGTGTTTTTGTGTCAATAAGCCTATTTATTGGTTTTAGAGACCAACATTCACAGGCAGCATGCATTTTTATTGCGCATAGACTTTCTGGGGCTGGTTTCGAACGTTTTTGATCTCATCAGCGTGTCCATGTGTACAGCTGCTCTGTGCTCCAAGTTAAAATAAGGCCAGATCGTCAATCGGAGGTAAATCTTGATTTATATGATGATAAAAATAAACCATTTCATTTTACAATACAGTCTTCAACTTTACGGGCTTATACTTGGTTTTATAGAGTTACGCTTCGCCATATAAGAGCAAAATCTAACGTGTGTCCATTGCAACACAAGCCTGTTAAGATGGTTTTACTATTTCACGGCTTTGTTCGAACTCGGCTGATGACGTCAGACGATGCTAGTCATCACGCGTTACATCATCATCATCATCGCCATCAACATCATCATTACCACCATCAATTAATCGTCATCATCATCATCATCGCCGCCATCAACATTATCATTACCACCATCAATAAATCGTCGTCGTCATGATCATCATCGCCATCATCATCATCATCATCGCCATCAACATCATCATTACCACCATCAATTAATCGTCGTCATCATCATCGCCATCAACATCATCATTACCACCATCAATTAATCGTCGTCATAATGATCATCACCATCATGAATCGTCGTCATCATCCGAATATATAAAACCTCGAGCACGTATGTCCGCTCGTCTCTTTTTTTTCCCTCCATCATTACGTTAACGTTGATCGCACTTGAAGGCATTCGTTTTAGGCCGAGTCGATCTAGAGGAGGAGCAGAGGCAGGTTTCGATTGCGATCGAAAGCCATTGCCGCTGGTCTAGTGGCATCGTAACCATTCGCCCGCACACCCCGAGACGCACACACAACACAAACAACATCGCACAGACCCCGCGCACCACAAAGACAAAGACCCCCCGTGTAGCCTGTAACAGACTGTTGGGGCAAGTGCTGTTAGCGAGCACCTATGAAGGCCGGTGCGGCACACGAGGGGGTCGGTGACCAGGAACCACGTCCGGCCGCCTTTGTCTCCCTATTGGTAATGTCTACACGCCGCACTCATTAGAGGCCGAGTCGACCTAGGGGAGGCCCACGACCGGATCAGATAATCGTCACCGGTGTTGACCGTGAGCGGGAATCGAACTCGAGTGGCCGGGTTCGTAGCGCAGCGCGTGCTAACCCCCCCCCCCCCCACATCACACACCAATAATAAAAATACATCGATCGTGGCCTAATGGTGCTAACTCGCGGCAGGCGATCACTGCGCATTGGATGGAGTTTCACGAAAGCCTTGCTCGCTAGAAGCACGTCCATCATGCGCACGCGCCTACCCGGAGACACAAAGATCCCCCATATAGCCTTAACAGACTGTAGGGGCAAGTGCTGTTAGCGAACACCTATGAAGGCCGTAACGGTACACGAGGGGGTGGGTGGCCAGCACCACGCCCGACAGCATTTGTCTCCCTAGTGGTGATGTTTACACACCGCACCAGGTACTCATTTGAGGCTGAGTCGACATAGGGGAGGCCCAGGACCGATTCAGATAATCGTCACCGGTGTTGGCCGTGAGCGGGAATCGAACTCGGTCGCCGGGTTCATAGCGCAGCGCGCTGACCGCTACACTATCGCTCCTCGGAGACACCCACGCATACACACGCGCGCACACCGAGACGCGTCGACTTTCTTATCC